GAGTGGACATGCGCCTCCTCTGGACCATGATCGTGCTGCTGGTGTGCACTCCCATTTTCTATGCCTTTGGGAAGCACTTCCAGCGTGCCAAGCAGCACCTCAAAGAGTGGTGCAACAGTCCCCCTGCATGGCAGCTGATCCTTGAGCAAATTCAGATGGAGCAGACGGCAAAGATGAGAGATATGATTGACAGTGCGCTTGAGCAGCGCCTGCAACAGTTTTCAGTCGACCACAAGGAGCACCTTGTGGACAACCTGGGTGTCCTGCATGGAGCTGTCAAATCTGGTGCCCAGCAGGTGACACTGGATGGTGCTCAGCTGAAGCAACTAAAGGATCTGCTGACTCAAGAGTCAAATGAGACTCGCAAAACAGTGATCCTTCACAAGGACCTTCTGGACGACGTTGGAAAACAACAGAAGGTGCTGGAAACTTTGCAAGATGGAAGCCTGGCTCAGGTCCGCGAAGTGCTGCAAGATCAACAGGCGGCCACTCGGCAGATCTGCGATCGTGTCGGAGAGCTGAGTGACAAGTTGATTGCGCTGGACAGACTGGTGGATGCTCTTGCTGGAAGCATCCAGAAGGTCTCGAATGAAAGTCATGTGGGCTTCACAAAGGCGGAGCAAAAGACGGAGAAAAACCACAACCTCTGGTTCTCTGAGAATGGCAGCATCAAGAGTTACCTCACCTCGATCATCCCTTTGGTAAGGGACACGAAGGCGAATGTGGACAAGCTCGCGCAAAGTGCCCCCGAACAAGCCAAAGAGTGTGATGGAATCAGGCGCCGGATTGATGATCTGCCTGTTGATGCCATCATGCGCTACCTTGGCAATACGGAGCACCTCACCACAGAAGTCAAGGAGACCCTGGATCAAGTCTGGAGCTGGCTGACGGACATCTGCCGGAATGTCCAGGACGTGACGATCAGAGTCCAGGAGTTGGATGAGAAGGTGATGGAGCGGCTGCCGAAGCTTCCGGCAACGAAGCCGCCGAACCAATCTGGCGCTACTAGCACGGGTGTCAACACCGATCATGGCAGTGGCTCCACACCACCTGAGACGATCCGCCTGCAAGAGGCCGTGCCGCAGCCAGTGTACCTCGGTCCAATGAGCTCAGTTGGCCAGGCAACGCCCTTTTTTGTCGCACCCCCACCGGGGCAAGGTGCACCGCTGTTGCTGACACAGCAGCAACAGGAAGCACTGCAGCGAGCGTACGTGTTTCAGAGGTAGGGCAGCACAAAGTGATCTACCCTGCTGCTGTTCTCCCTCGGGCCCTACCCTAATACCCTAATACCTACTTGCACTACTTGTGGTCTGTTCATCAAACCAAGTGGTAGGAATATGCCCAGTGAGACAACAGCTACATTCTGCGAGCCTTTCAGCATGCGAATTTAACAGCAGCACGTGCATGTGAATGCAAAGCATGACTGCATGCTCTTGTTTCCACCGTGGTTTGCATGACTATTCGTTCTTGCACCACGAGCACCACTGTGCCGAGGGCACCACGTTGCCATACTGCTGGGCACACGACATTCTGACTGCTGTGACTGTCTTTTGCTGCATGAAACTTTGAATTTAGGCCTGTAATTTGTTTCTGAATTTCTTTGAGCTGCATGCATGCTGATGCTCGCCGACATATTGGATGCCACCGACTCCCGGCCTCGCCGACCAAAACAAGAAGCGCGAGCGAGTGCGCGTACGCCAGTTGATGTAGGATTAGGTTTGTGACGTTCAGTCGAGAAGGTTCGTAACAGCGAACCCAGCCAAGGTCTGAGCAACATGCTGACAGTTTGCGCAATGGGCTCGAGAACAGTGGGTGATTACGTCGACATAACATGACACGGCACGGCATGACCTTTCATTCACCACTGTACTCACTGCTTTAGACTTGCTAGAGGTGGTCTCGCAGTGCAGGGCTGTAGCAGGGTTTTAGCAGAAGGCTGTGTGTGTGGAGTTTGCTGTCCTGTGTTGAGGTAACTACAAAGGGAGGGTGTGAGAGAGAGCATGCAGCATCGTGTGCACTTTCTTTCAGCCCCTGTCCCTGAGTCCCCATCCTGTGAAAAAGCAACAGTTGAGCATGACTCCCCACCCCATAAAAAGACCAAATCGTGTGCTACTACTGCACTCCCTGAACCCGCTGTCGACAATCGACCCAGCAACCCATCCTCCTGCACTGACCGTCATCATAGAAGCTCCCTTGAAGCTGTCGAGTGCGCTGCGACCCAGCTCCTGAACCAAACCTGCAATCAACCCATCCTACATTCGGACATCCTCAATTTGTGGACCCTAATACCCGCCTCTAAACGACTTAGACCCCGACCCAAACCGGTATCCTCGCGCTCAGGTGAACTCCGCGAAACATGCAACATGTCCTACATTGTTGTAGGTCAAAACCCGCGAGCCGTTGATGACATCACTTGCGTGACCTTTGACCTCAGCAAGACCACGCTTGCACTAACACGCTTCGTCAAGTCCTGGGCCCCGAACTTTAAGTTCTCGACCATTGCTGTAGTTGCCAACGGTAACAAAGGCCCCCACAGGGATCTCAACAACAGTGATGGACTTTCATTCCTCACATGTCTAACTAATCAAGAGGGAGGAGACCTGTGGATCCGGAACAAACAGGGCACACATGCAGTGCTGCACAACCAGCAGATCATCATGGGTCAGGTTGTACCAATCAGGCATAGCCCCATCCTGTTTCCCAGTAGGAGCGTGCTACATTGCTGTACTCCATGGAAAGGATGTACCAGAGTCATCGTCGTAGCCTTTAATCCCATTCACTCCAGAACCCTGTCGAAACCTCACCGTAACATCCTGCAGAGCGTGTGGAAGTTTCCGCTGCCGACAGAGCTTGACCTCGACAAGTGGCGACTACACTTTAACCACCAACGAAGCATCCTGGAGTTCGGACGTGAGCAGGAGAGGAGTGACGAGAGCTGCGAGAAGAACCAAAGAAAGTGTAGGGAGGTTGTCGAAGTCGTCGATTAGCGCTACGGTGTGTGCCGTCCTGTCACCTACGGAAAACCTGAAAAACCTACAAAAACACTCACCTTGCAACACACACACACCGTAGCTGTCCTGACCCTTCGTCTCCTCGCTCCTCGCCTTGACTCTGGTTGGGTGGGAACTAGGTATTTATGGGTTTTCAATCCTATACGGTTCTGCTCCCAGGAGCTATGGGCTCTAATATAGCACTGGGTACTGGACCCTACGGGGATTGATTTTGATTTCGGTGTTTTCGGTGAATCCCATGCGCCATGGCCTGTTCCACTCAAACTTGTTTTTGGCACCATCCTGGTGATACCGTCGGTGTCATCACGATTGCGCCAACATCTTCTGGCGACCCTGGGCATGCTGGCTCTGCTTCTGACTGACAGATGGAGGAACAATGTATGACGCTGAAGCTACTGGGCATGAGTCCCGGGCAACAGTTGCCAACTGCCTTAACTCTCCATGACTGCTGGCCAGAGGCGGACCCCTGTCGTATGGGCTTTGCTTTTCTTGACCTGGTTCTGGTGGTGTCGACATACTCCTGCCGGCAGCTTTGCCTGATCACCACCATGACTGTCTTCAGAATTCATGAATTCACGACGCACTTGAACGAGGCAACGGTTGGCTACGTCCTGCGATGGTGAAATCCCGAATTTGCACCGGTCGGCATTTTGCTGCAGTGGTGATTCCTTGAATTTGTGAATCCTGAATTTGAGCTGCATGTGACGAGATACGGAATACATGGACCGATACAAGGATCGCTGCATGGGCCTTGGTTTGCGATGTTCGAATTGACGAAATGACTGCATTGACTGCATGACCTGCATGAGCTAGCGATTTGAGCTGTTTCTGGTGGCGTCGACAAACTGCTGCCGGCAGCATTGCCTGATCGTGATTCCTGAATTTGAGCCGCATGTGATGAGATACGGAATACATGGACCGATACGTGGCTCGCTGCATAGGCCTTGGTTTGCGATGTTTGAATTGATGAAATGACTGCATTGACTGCATGACCTGCATGGGCTGGCGACTTGAGCATGCGACTGCATGAATCCTGCATAGGGACAGCCGACATGAAGATGCCCGGCGCAGAAGAACAACGGGGATGGGTGAGTGCCTGGGATCTGCAGCGTGTGGAGTGCTGAGACGAGGCTGCTGAGTGCAGCGGGACTGTGAGTTGAGGGAGCGGCCAACTAGAGGGAACCGCAGGAAGATGGGCGTGTCGACATGGGGGCGACGTGTGTAACACATGTGCCCGAGCGAATGCAGAATGCATGTAGACAAACATTACAGTTGTAGCAGAGTGCCGGACGTCCTGTAGGGATTGAATCCTTGTGCCTGCGACTTGTGTACAGTCTTGTGGTGAAGTCCAGTATCGCACCCTGCATCGTAGGTTCGTCCTAGCCAGGCGGGAGGCAAAAATATATACTTATGTATGTATGCACCTATGTAAATCATGTATGTATTCCCCGACACCTCGTCTGACTTGTCGAGTGCGAGTGACAAAAACCATGTATGTACGCTCATCTTATACATGTGCAAGTTCACATATAGGTGTACTTATACATGCCGTTATGAAGAGATGTATGTATATGTGAAATATGTGTATACATGTACCTCTTCAGTTGTATGTATGTGTACATACATATGCATACCTACATTCATGTACACATACACACATGTCTCATGTATGTATGTATGTTGTCGGTAGGTAGGTATGTATGTATGTATGTATGTAACGGAAGTCAATGGCGAAAGGTAGAGCGCGGCTCAGCGTTTGGCAGTCAGTCTCAATTCACACCGCTTTCGTGCTAACCCCAAACCCAGGGTCTTGGCAGGAAAGCTGGAGCTTTCAACGCATGTTGCTAGGCTTTGTTAGAGCGCGACAAAACTGGAAAGCCGGAAAAAGGTCTAGAGTCTAGAGTCTGAATCAATTTCTGGCGTGTCTCTTCGAAGACTTGACTTCTTGGCTGCAGCTCTGCGGCCCGATGCCCTTATCATGTTCTGAAGGCTGAATGCGACCGTTGCTGCTCCCAAGCTCGAGGAGGTGCTCGGCTCCGTGCTGATCTCTGCGGCTTAGCAGCATGCGGTCTTGCGCACCCGTGTGTGAACAAGTTCAATTCCGAGATATTCCGAGTTTGACAGGACTTGCAGAAATTGGGGGTACTCTGGAGGTGGGAGCAGAAAAAAACGCCTTTCAGCATGATGCCATTCCCTCCCCTCCAAGTTTGGCAATTGGCGAATCGCACTGCGTGACCTGTTTCTGCAGGCCTTCGCCGGAAAGTGGGTGGCAGTCGACCGTTCAGCTTGCCCCAGTGGATGTGCGGAAGCCGTTCGCAGGCGGCACGCGTGCTGTGTTTCATGCCTTCCGAGTCTCTCCGTCTGCACCAATTCCCGGCCAGCCTCCATGTTCTTCTTCGTGGACTGGGACGAGCTGCGACCGTGGCACCAGGCTCGGCAATGATGTGAGATGAAGGGCTGCAGCCGACGCACACGGTTGAAAGAGCATATGGAGTACTTAGACCTGCATGTATATAGCGGTTGTGATCAACCAGATCAGGTGATGACAGTTACGATCGACAGCTATGCGCTGCTGCGAGCCCAGGCAGCTCCGCGACAGAGTACCATTGTTCCAGGGTATGGTGCGCTTGAAGGATCTCTCAAGGATCGGTTTCGATGTGTAGCCACACTTGCGAGGGTTATCCAAAACTCGAGAAGCAGCGCAGCATGTGAAATGCTGGTCATCCGGCTATCTTTCCGGGCATCATTTAGTCCTGGAAGTTTGCATCGTAAAGGAGGTCTCCATGCAAGTAAGTACGGGTCATTGCAATGGTCGTCCATGCGGCCCGCAGTTTCCGTCCCAACAGATTGATAGTACCCTTGTTCCTTCAGTTTATCAATCTTGAGCGAGTGAGACGAAGCGCCTGCGTTACAAGCAGCCTCAAGCAAGAACTTCATCTCGGTTTTTCGGTTGGTGTCACAGGCCTGGGGTGAACCACAACACAATGGACACGTTTCGGCCCATCAACCTGACAGCAGTATCCATATGTCAAGGCTTCGATTCAGTGACTGCCCATGTTTGGCGCACAGCCGACACTCCCAGTGTGGCAATTTCTTAATCCGTCATTTTCTCAAGCGGTGCACTGACGCCACTGCACAGACGTCCGTGAGAAGATCTGCAATGTGGCTTTTGTTTCGTAGAGAGGTCATCTGAACTTAATCAGCTCATGAGGCATTGCTGCCACTGCAAGCTGCTCCAAAACGTGTGCTGGAACCTTGGTTGCAGGTCGTTACTCATGCGCTTGAGCAAACCTCAGCTCCAGTTCTCAGCGCCTCAGAACTGCTCTCAGGATTTGTGTGCGGGAAGTGGTGCCGGATCCCTGGCCTTCTGTCCCAGTTGTGGCATACAAAAGCTGGCCAAGCATACAGAGCACTTCGATCCTTTCGCCCGAAGCTAGATGGCAGATTTCGAGACTTTGTGCACAGCTGCTGCGGATTGAGGTCCAGGGGCTCTACGCTGCGAAGCGCTTCGCTGCTGCTGCCACACTTGTGGCCCGGGCCCCGGATACCATTGTGTTGTTACCCGGGGCATACAAGCTCCCACGCTTGAGTTCGCGGCTAGGGCTACTCGGCAATGCAATTAGAGCCGATCTTGCTTGATTTTCGGTTGGTGACCAGGACCTGAACCCGCGTGCAGTGCGCTTTGCGCAACCTGGCCACAGCAACGGCAGAGCGAATCTGCGTGTTTAGCAGGGTGGGGTTGTTTGAAAGTTGGCGATAGTTGGTGCGAATCTGAAGCTTGACTGGCCTCATGCGTCGTCACGAGATCATTAGGCCAACAGGCTTTTGCTCATACATCCGTGGCGTGTCGGGTGTTGGCTGGACGGTCCCGAGGAAAGCGAACGTTCTGCTGAACCAGGTGTCCAAGGTGACTCTTCATCACGGCAACCTCTTTGAGGCGCTGCTCCTCGTGGGTTTACATTCGACGCCGACAGTGGCTCGCTGCCATCTTGGGTAATGAGGGTCAACTTGCTGGATTGCAGGAATTGTTTGTTATCCCGCGTGGTGTCTTGGCATCTTAAAGTAAGGTGTTCGTCCGTAGGGTACTGGCAACTGGGCAGGCTGTGATATCAAGAAGACCTTGTACTATCCACATCGGTAAGCGTCGCTCTCGTTCATTATCGTTCGTGATGTTTAGTGGTTTGCAAAGCAAAAGCTGACGCCAGGCATTGCCAAATCGCTGCCGGGACGAAATTGCCAGGCCGATTATTTCATCTCTCGCGCAGAGACCACTGTTGGCAGCTGTCGACTCTCCTTCTTGCAGCGACAATGCCATGCCTGGTCTGTTCCGGCTTTCCTTGTGGAGACCGTGTGTGCGAGTTGGCTAGCCCTGCAAGGTATTCCCCAACGCTGGACTGCAGCCACGGACTATTTGCCTGGCGCCGAGAACGGATTTCGTAAGCAGATCCTGCTGCGACAGCATCAAGGACCTGATCTTGGCGAACCCACCATACGTGCCTTCCACCGGACCTGTCCTCAGACACATTCCAGTGGAGTCTGCAAGGCTAGCTGGCTGACTACATGATGGCTGCAGTCTTGGGTACCTCTTTTGCACTTCCGTCGCAGCCACTGACGTAGCTCTTGCTGCAAGGAAGAATTTCAGCTGCAGTATGCTGCAAGTTGGCAGTAGTGTTCGCAGGTGGTGGACAAATGTTCGTTTCTGGAGGTGATCGAGGAGAAGATGCTCACACCTCGGAAGTGGTAAAAGCTGGAGTAAAGAAGAAGACAACCCAGTCCAGGCAAATGTGGCAACCCTGTTCGGGTGCATGTTCGAGTTTGGTCTTGCGCATTTCTGCACTTGCTTCTTTCCTGCGACGTATGCATGTGCAGACGTGTTCCCTCTATGATTCTCTGTAGTGACTGTAGCGTTAGAAACGCAGGCAAATCACGATCTTGAAACTAGCCGAGCTTTGCCACTGCAGACTTGATGTACCCGTGGTGACCATCCCTTGTTGTGCTCTCCTAGGTGACTGCACGAATTTTGCGCGGCGCCCCCAAGGCACGATATCTTGCAATACCTTGCAGCCCAACTATCAGCTCCAGAACCCAGGAGAACTCGAGGCCAAAGGCTCCAGCGGCTCAAGCGCAAGACCGCAAGACTTGCACCGGACCATTGTCGAAGCTGGGTGAGGCCATGCTGAGGATAGAGCGGAAGCAAGTGGAGTGGCCGACTGGCCCGGGCTGATCGACACAATCTCGGCACAGAAAACTCTCAGAGCGGTTCCGAAGCCGTCCGCAACAGCTGGAGTACAGAAATCTGTAAGCGGCAACGTCAACTCGGGGTGGACATCTGGCAGAAGAAAGGAAGAAAGAAGCGAGAGAGAGAAAGTAGCAGTGGCAATGGCATTACCATGACCAGTGGCAGTAGCCGCAGTAATCGCAGGGATAGCGGTATTGCATTTTGGGTGGGTGTCGAGGTCGGAACTCAGAACTGCTGTCGTCGTAGAAGCATCCTATATTCCTGATTGGACCCGACCCGTGGGGTCTCGAAGATGCTGTTAAGCCCACGGCATCGCTTTGGTCATTGCGGGCCTCAGGCTCGTTGTCGCGTCTGTCGCTCTGCGAATTTTTGCGTTCGCGAGCAGTGTTGGCAGCGAGTGCCGTAGCGGCCCGATGAATGGCAGTAAGAAGAAAAGACATAAAACAGACGAAGCGTGGCGAGCGTGGCGAGCGAAACGGCGCCGTTTCGAGCGGAGAGGCTTTGGGTTCGGGCGGGCGACTCCTGCTCGTCGCAAACCTGGCCAACGTCGACGGCCGGGAGCTCACAGCGAAAGGACCCGAAGTGCATCAAAACACTGTCACTGTCAGTCGGATTTGATTTCAGTACATCTTTAGGCTGGAAGCCAACACCTGCCGTTCAAGCAGTTGCAAACCCCTTACAACAACGTCGTTATGTGCCATCCGCAAAGCTGCACCGTAAGCGGCGCGGTGGGAGATGCCTGCCTCTTGGATCCTATAACTTTGCTCACATTCCACAGCGGCACACCCAGCACTCAGCGCTATTCAGCATTGATCCCCCTGCAGATGTCGGCTGCACAGCTCAGAGCACACGCCCATTCAAGAGCAACTAATCAGATGTGTGATTACTACATCTTGAGTAGCAGCAGCAGGAGAAAAGGAGGTGGAGGAGGAGGAGGAGGAGGAATAGCAGCAGTAGCAGCAGCCGGAGCATCAGCAGTAGCGGTAGCAGTAGTCAGTAGCAGTAGTGGTAGCGGTAGCAGCAGTAGCAGTAGTAGTAACAGTCGTAGCAGTAGACGTAGTAGTACTGGTAGTAGCAGGCACTTTGTTGTTGTTGTTGTCGTTGCTGCTAAGCCTCTCGGCTCAGGAAAGGTCAGGCTAGTACAGTTGCCTTTTTCCTTTCTTGCCATGGCACTTGTCAGCGCCTGAGCAGTCCCGGTCCCAAGTCCGGGAGGGAGTATTAGATTTACAGCTCTCTAACATCTCCCAGAGGTGAGGGTTGTCGGTATTGCGAAGCCGACAGGAGCCGTACTCAACATGACTGCTTCGAAACAGCCTAGTGGTTCGACCAAGCATCAGCCCGTTCCTAAAGGGAAAGGTAAACGTAAAGCTCTGCTTGAAGGTAGTGCGGTCTACAAGGGAAGGACGATGTCGTCAACAGAGCTTGGAGTTGCTTCGGCACATGTAAAGCCCACCAATACCGGCAGAAGGACTCGGCCTTCGAAATTTACAGAAGATAAGAACCTCAGCTATCTATCCTGGAACGCAGGATCACTCACAACAGCAGTTTGGGAAGAGTTACTCTCCGTACTGCAAAGTGCCGCATTTCAGGATGTGAAGCTGGTAGCAATTCAGGAAACACACTGGAGGGGCTCTTGGCAATTCAGCAAGTCAGGCTGGCACGTGATTAGCTCTGGTTCCACAAGGGAGAAGGGAGCCGGGGTCCTCATAATGGTGCACTCCACGCTGTGCAAGTCACAGGATCTTCGCTACAACGAGGTTGTTCCAGGAAGAGTTCTCCAGGTCCGGGTGCCGAGCAACGGCATCTCACTGGACGTCTTCAGCTGCTATCAATACGTTTGGCGCTCTAAGGAGACAGTCGCTCAGAATAAGGAAACCCGGAAGCAGACCCTTCACGCCCTAAGTAAGTCCATCCGAGCTGTTCCCAATCGCAACACTCTCCTTGTGCTAGGAGATTTTAACTCCTCGCTCAAAACCGACAACAAACACGTAGGGCCATGCACGATCCAGGCTTGCAGACTCGGGCATCGCGGATCTAAGGATCTCCAGACCCTACTGTCGGAGCACCAGCTAGTCGCAACCAACACTTGGGGAGTGCATAGACCAGCCACCCACGAACAAGGCAACTCTGTTTCACAGATTGACTTCTCGTTTGTCAGGATTGCACAGTCCCAAGGCCCTGCCAGGTTTTGCCGGCCACTAAGGACCTTCCCAGTGGCATCCTGGAGGGATGGTAGTAGGCATTTCCCCCTTCTTGGTAAACTGAGGCACAGCAGGAGATACTCCGCCCAAGCCTCAAAACCCTATGACCAGCAGGCAATGGAGGACTGCTACAGACACCGTTCCCCGAAAATACAGGCATTTGCCAGGGAGGTAGACTCCCTCCTTCAGGATCATCCCCAAACCTGGCAGAGTCTCCATCAGGCAATGAACTCAGCCCTCGCGACTCACTTTCCCAAGAGAAAGGAAGCAGCACAAAGATCAGATCTCAGCATCTGGGAAGAGCGCTCTGTGTTGCGCTCACTCCCACTAGCAGCCAAGGTCTTAGCAGAGTTCTTGCCCGAGCTGCAGGTCCGCATGGTGTTCCGATGCTGGTGCTCGTTCTCCCAGCAAAGTGCACAGGCGAGGGTAGCAAAGCGTCACAAGCAGGAGCCGTGGCGGCAGGAAATAGATGAACAACTCCAGCAGGCAGAGCTTAAGTCCAAGCAGGACGGGAGTCCTTTACAAGGTAATCAAGCGCTTCAGGTCGGGGAGACCCCAGGAAAGAATTCAGCTTCGTGATTCTGAGGGTCGCTTCCTTACTGCTAAGGAAGAAAGAAGACAATTAGAGGACTATTCCCTAGACCTGTTTGGAGCAGGGGATGACTTCCCGCTCTCAGGGATACAAGGCAGCCTGCACATCACTGAGCAAGAAGTGCAAGAACAGCTTGGAACAATAAAGCTGGGCAAGGCGGTTCCTAAAGAGAGTCCTCCCGTAGTAGCCTGGCGCTCCCTAGGTCCCCAAGCAATCCGGCTAATCTCGGACACCCTTAATAGGGAAGTCACTGCAGGAAGGCTCTCGGACAGTGTCACCTCGTCACAGATCTCCTGGCTCCCAAAGCCTCCCAAGAAGCCAGATAAACCAACCTCACTCCGTCCGATCGGGGTGATAGCACCTGAGGGTAAGGTCCTAGCCGGACTCGTGAGGAAGAGACTCAAGTCTACCCTCCAGCTAGCAATGACCGGCGTCTCTCAGTTCGGCTTTGTCCCAGGCAGGGGCACAGAGGAGGCTATCTGCAAGGCCCTCACACATGTGGACCAGGCCAGGTTCAGACAGGCACTCACCACTAGGGCTGCAGGAAAGGGACAACAGGGGCTCAAGCTCAGAGGCAGTCTCACCATGAGCGTGGACATGAGCAAAGCTTTTGACACTGTAAACAGGCTGCGATTAAGAGAGGCCCTGGAAGCCGAACAAGCAGATCCTCTTCTGATAGAGGTGGTAGGCCATCTCCACATCAAAGCCTTGTACAAGATGACAGCCAGCGATCAGAGCTTTGAGATAGCCACACGCAGGGGAATCAAGCAGGGATGTAAGCTAGCACCCTCTTTATTCGCCTTTGCATCAGGGCTTCTCTTTAGGAAGCTCTCTGGGAAAATCAGCCCAGCAGAACTAGTGAAGCTCCTCACAATGTACGCTGACGATAGCTTGATCCAGTCGCATTTCGACTCTGAGGCCGGCCTCATGACAGCACTAGGGTACTGCGACCTGCTTCTGGATCAGCTGGTAGAGCTTGGGTTCAAGGTCAATCCGTCCAAGTCAGCAATACTGCTACAGCTGCAAGGGGGCTCAGCCTCGACCATTAGGAAGAAACTCTTTCGCCAGGTCGAGGGAGAGAAGTATGTTGAACTCCCTTCGGGCAGGCTGATATCGCTGCGCTATCAGGTCCCATACTTGGGGGTCATTCTTTCTTATCACGACTATGAAATGAAGACTCTCAAACATCGGCTGTCATCCAGTAAGCTTGCAATGTCAGAAGTAGCCCATGCAGTTCGGAACCACCGAGTCTTATCAGACAGACGTCGTCTGTCGATTTGGACAATAACTGCGTGGGCCTCTGCTCTGTATGCACTTCACGTGGTGGGGATGACACAGCAGGGATTGCAAAAGCTCCATTCACACATGATGTACCAACTCAGATTTGTCCTGCGGAGTTACTCCCAGGAAACGAAGGAATCAAACCAGGAGTTACTCCGGAGATTACGGATTCCTCACGTGAAGGAGCAGCTGCAAAAGAGAATGACCCAGTTTATAAAGAGACAGCAACACTCCGATCCCCAGCTTCTCCCACACTATAAGTTGCGTGCTGAGGCAGTTAGCCAGGCATTGGAAGGCCTCTCCACGGACTTCTCCTCGCACCATGTGGAGGATAGGCTTCTGACCTGCGGTGAATGTGGAGCATGTCTCTCTGGCACCGGAGCACTCCGTCGCCACCTGCAGAAGGCTCACCCAGATTCTCAGCAGTGCCTGAAAGGACCCAAATTTGATCCTATTTTGCATTCAATGCCAGGGTCAGCAACTTGCATCGCCTGTCGAGCAACATTCCGAACAGTGTTTTATCTGCGCAAACATGTCGAAGCATCTACCTGCCCTAGGGTAGAGCTTTTGCTTAGACAGCAGGAAGAGCTACCCTTAGAAGCACAGAACCGGATCTCACTCGTAGAGAGTCTACAATCTGATGCCCAGGACAATCCAGAAGGCGCCGCTCGAAATCCGGCGTTCCATGATTATCTGATGGAACACTGCGCACTCTGTGGTCAGGTCCTCGTAGGCCAGAAAGGAGCCAAACAGCACTTAAATCATTGCCCTTTTGCACCGAACCAGAACCACAAGGTTTAGATCCACAGGGCTTTTTCGACAGAGTTGGCTTCTAAAGACGTTTACAGACTTTTAAAAACTTTCAAATGCAAGAAAAAACATTCTAAAAACTTTTAGAAGACTTTAAAAGACTTTTAGAAACTTTTAGAAGACTTTTGCAAACTTTAAAAGACTTTTCAAAACTTTAAAAGGCTTTTAAAATATTTAAAAGACTTTTAAAAACATTAAAATACATTTAAAAGCTTTAAAAAGACTTTAAAAGACTTTTAAACGCTTTTAAAAGCTTTTACAAACTTTAAAAAGAATTTGAAAGACTTTTAAAGACTTTAAACAACTTTTAAAATTTTTTAAAAACTTTAAAACACACAAAAAAACTACATTTTTTAATGTTTTTTCCGAGAAGACGAGGATGAAGAAGACCTGGCACAGGGTTTACAGTTTCAGGGTCTTTAGGGTTTGGGGTTAGAAGGCAGAGTGCCATAGTATTAGGGGTTTGAGGGTAATGAAAGGGTTAGGGTTAGAGTTTCAGGGTCTTTATTATATTTAGGGTTTGGGGTTAGAAGGCAGAGTGCCATAGTATTAGGGGTTTGAGGGTAATGAAAGGGTTAGGGTTAGAGTTTCAGGGTCTTTAGTATTTAGGGTTTGGGGTTAGAAGGCAGAGTGCCATAGTATTAGGGGTTTGAGGGTAATGAAAGGGTT